AATGGTATTGCAGGTCCCCATGATTGATTGTATACATCTCCTTGACCATTTTTTTTTATGAGGTCACTCATGATCCCTGCACCATCCTGATTGATTTTCTCCTTCAATTTGGCTATGAATTAGTGTTTAATTCATTATGATCATAATGCTTACTATGAGTTGCCCTGTCAGAAGTCAAATTCTCCTTGTTGTCAGACTGCCTGAACTTCTTGCCTATGTATGAACTTGTGTCTTCTTGTTGCCAAACCATGCCACAATTTGTGAGGATGATTTTCTGGCATAAAGCAATTCCAGTATAATTCTTTGGTCATATTCTCATATGTCCGAGCAAGTCTCAATTGTTGACTGTTCAATGCTTTCTTCTTAAGTGACTTGATGTATGCACTTTTATCAACAGTCTTATCTTCAAGACTGCCTAAGATTGCTTATGAAGAAATTCCAGATTTACCTTAAATTAATGACCCTGTACAATATGCAAATCATTAGTAGTATATAAAATAAAATATTATACTCCAAAGAAATTTAGTTTGTTTTCTTATAAACCATTTGTTCAGAAAATATTTATTCAAAGTCAATGTTATTTTGACATCCTCAGAGATATTCATATAGCCCATGCTCATATACTATACATATCTCTATATGTGTGTTTGTTTATTATATTGTTATAATCATTCTTTTTATTTCATATTGACAGTAACTGAAATAGCTTCCTTACTGGAAGATAATGATCTTAATTTAGACAAGCTCTATATAGCAGTTATGAAGAGTCAGAGTCGGAAATAAAATCTTTTTACGGAAGTCTGAAGTTGGAGTCAATTTTAAAAAAATACTGACTTGGGAGTCAGGAGTTGTGTATTTTTCCAACGACTTCCCATTCCTGCTATATAGAGCCACCTGATGAGTGAATTGTCTGGTGTAGATTCTACTGATGAGGATGATTGAACTTTAAATATGCTGAAAATATTTTTATCTAGCTTCTTAATGTAATTATACATAATGGATGGGTTCTAAGTAGATCCAGTATACCACAGCTTGAATTCAAGAGAAATAGTTTGACAGAAAGAACAATTATACTTGGTATCATGTTCAAAATTATTATAAAATATGCTAAATTCAAAGAATCATCTTTTAAGAGAACAAAAACATTTCTGAATAATATATTTTGGTACCTAAATTTTACATTTTTCTAATAATTTCAAATAGTCTAAACCAGCAGTTGGCAACCTGTGGTCTGTGGAGAAATTTGGACATTGATCAACTGAAAGTTATGCAAAGTATTACGAAAGAAATGCAAAATGCTTAGTTGCTTTTTTCACTCATTGGGGTTTTTTATTCGAATCTAAATCCAAATACGAAGCGACTTATCAATAAATAATGAATAATAAACAATATTGTGAGCGCAATTGTCGTCCTTTGTGGAAAGCGCTAAGAATCCATAAATTTATTTCAAACAAGCAGCAATGAACTGTAGGCTGGCATTAATATGTTATAATTAAACAAGAGAGTTTCATATTAATATAGTAAAATTGAACTTTAATGATCATTAAAGTTCTTTGTCTCTGATAAAAAGTGAATAAAAGGAAAAAATAAAAACAACATTTTTATAAATAATTAAAAAATAAAAACAACAATAAAATAATTTTAGAAATATAAAATATTTCTAAAATTTTCTAAAATATTCTTTCTCCAGATTTTGTAGCGTTTAAAACAGTTAATGATAGTGGTCCGTGGGATTCAAAATTGTGAGTTTAGTGGTCTGTGAGACCAGAAAGGTTGCCGACCGCTGGTTTAAATGATCTATTACGGATTATCAAAAGGATCCAGGTACTCTCTTGATATTTTGAAATTCAGTGCAAAAACAGTACAATCTCTGATTATATTTGATATAATCAATTGAATAACTCAGTAGAACTAACATATAACCATTCCAGGTTTAAAAGTAAAGTAATTAATTCACAGATTAATGATACACTTTCGTGGTTAGTCTGTAAACTAATACAGACTAACCAAGAAAGTGTATCATTAATCTGTGGTTTTCAATATTTTAAGCCTTTTCACACTCACTAATCAAACGAAAAAAGAATAATAGGCTTTTTTCATCATCATACATGCAACTTGCAACTTTTTCAATCCTCATACTTGAGGATTGAAAAAGTTCATATTTTATTGCAATTTACATTTTCATCATAAATTGTAAAATCATTTATTTTGGCAATAAATATTTTTTTTTATAAAATAGGCCAATTTTTTTTTAACTACTACTTATTATGGAATACTCCTTCCAAACAACTTTTTGACCATCCTTAAAATGAAATAAAATACTTATAATATTTGTTTAAATATTATTATTAAGCATAAATACTATAAGTACTGTGCATATAAATAAAAACAAAAAACAATGAAACTACTGAAAACCAATCACTCTGGAACCCAGCAGTATATTTATGTACAACTAAAACTTAAAATTGTAACAAATGTTAAACTATTTAAATGGGTGTAATTAATTTGTTAATGAAGGAGACTTATATGAACTTTTAAGAAAAAAAATTCCAGTTTTAATTTGCTAACTAGTTACAATTAATTCCTGAAATAGTAGAGAAATGTAATTTAATTGACCTCATTATGGAGATTCATCATTGCATCATATTAATTCAACAAAAGTGATATAAAAAATATTTTCATTCTTACTATTGTTATGTATCTCACTATAAATCAAAATTATTAACCAAATGTAAGAGCAACAAACAAAAGAATTAACTCTTATTAAATAATCTAAATCATTGCTTGATTACAATAGAAACTTATGAAAAAATTGTAGGAAACAAAAATTTCTAAGTTTATTTTAAATTATGTTCATAGCAAAAATTATAATTAAGTGTCTAGTTTATATTTAAACTGATTCAATTTTGAAACTTTTTTAAGCTTTCCTCATATATGAGCTTTTATTTAAGAATAATTTACTTTCTACAGAAAAATTTTCTGTATTATCTTCATTATCTTGTTTGGATAAGAGAAAATTTAAATTTAACAATAATTATTATAAAATACATTTTGGCATGTATAATAATGATATACCAGTAGTTCAAAATAGGTAATTAATTTCAAAACTTATAAAGTTTTGTAATAATCTTGAATTTACTAAGTATATAGTACTTGATTATCTGTTTAAATAGAATTATAAGTGATTTTTCAATACAACTTCAGAAAAGATTACTTTAAATTTATCTAAACACTCTCAGCTTTGTTTCTAATCTTTTATTCTTTATTCTTTTTACATATCTTACACAGTCAGAGTTTTAATAATATTCCAGGAAATTTTTTTACAGTTATGAAAAGTTTTACTGTTTTAATAATATAAAAATACAAAAATATAACAATCAGCATTATAAATGCTGCATATATAGCTGTATTTTAAACCTTGTAATTTATGAAAGCTTAATTCAATTTAATGAAGCATTTGATTAATACTAATTATTATTGTTATTTTACATTTATTTATTTCTGATTTGATAGAGAAATAAATACTATACTTTTCACTTTATATGACACACTGTTAAATAGGATGCATCACATTTTCCATGAAAACTTTTTTTGAAGGATTTGAAAATCTTTACAGTATGAAATATATTGAATACTGTACATAATACCAATTTTCAAATAAATTTTAGCCACAAAAACATGCATCATATAAGGTTAAAAATAAAGTAAATAATTATGTAATTTTCTAAAATATACAGTCGACCCCTATAACACTGTTGATAATTCCATTTTATATGAATTCCATGTTGTATGAGTCACTTAGATTTTACAAATACATGAGCTGTTCACAATCCGGCACACGTATTTGTAAAATCTAAGTGACTCATACAACATGGAATTCGCATAAAACAGAATTATAAACAGTGTTATAGGGGGATTGACTATATATATTAAATATAAAAAAGTATAAAATCAATGAAAGATAATACAAAATGAATTCATACAAAATACAATATTTTCAGCCACAATATTGTAATAACAGATTTCATATCACATAGAAAATAATTACATATAGAATTGGCATTACTTATTACATCATCATTTTACTTAATTGTTAACTTAGTGTAAATATACAATATATAAATATAACTATCAGAGACAAAACTATTTCAGAAAATAATTTTCTCAGATGAAACAGCTGTCATATTTAGATAAAGCTTATTTACATTTCTATCATAAGGAAGAAACCAGAATTATCCTCTAAATATTAAAGTGAATTAAAAAAAATGAATTTATAATTAAAACTTTATTTATATTATCTTCTAAATATGAGTAAATACCTGTAATTTCTTCCCTAACTGACCACACACTATTGTGAGTGGAAAAAATAGACATACTAAAAATAGTGTGTCATATAGTTAATAGTTGCTTCTAAATCAGAACTAATTTCTATAATCATTTTAGAGTATTAAATTTAAATGTGAATCTGATTGCACAAAAGCATATGATTTACAGCCATTTATGTCATTTCAGATATAATTAGATAGATTTTTAAAAATTAAAAGCAAAATATCAGGTGGTAAAAAAATTAATTAAAAAAAATTCAACATTTAAAAGAACAGTAATTTTCAACATATTAAATTATTAATTCTGATTAATTATGAAACTTAGAAAATTTAAAAAATTAAACAAGATTATGCTAACATCAAATGTTTATAGTCCAAAACAATGTTTAGGGCATTATATAAAAATTGAAAAATAATTTGATGAGATACAGTTTTTAGGATTTTAAGATAATTAATTTAAAAAAAAATGTATTAATTTTTTTATTCTATTATAAAAATGAAAATACATTTCATTTATTTAATTCTGAAAAAAATTATATAATTGTTAATGGTTAAAGGTATCAATAGTTAAATTTTTTATCAATAATTAATATTAAAATAGGAATTCAAATAAATATATAAAGTATTTAAGTTATTTCATGCAACATGCACTGAAAATTTTATAAAAATAAATACCAGCTATACAAATCTTTCATTCTGGCTGAAGATAATTGATTTTACACTGGAAAAGAAAATATTTCAAACATTTGTTTAGTCTTTAAACATGGGATATTTGATATTTATATGCTTGCTTTACCAATTATACATCTATAAATTTTTTAAATTTCATTATAGACTTTTTATATGGATACCTGAGGAGTATTTTGATTACTGTTGATATGATTTGATGTGGAGGGAGATATTTCATCTTCATTAATGCAAAGATCAGTATCAGAATCATCATCCTTCTTATTATTATCCTATCATACAATAAAACACAGTAATTTAAATTAACATTAATTATATGTAATTTATGATTTCAATTATTATACTATGAATTACACTATCTCTTATTAATATCTAAATACTTGCTGATGTACTATCAATCAATATTTAATAAGAACTGAAATTTAGAAAAGTTTATAATACTAGTTGATAAAATATATACATATAAAAATCTATTAATATGACAAAAGTAACTGATCAGTATGACAATAGAAGGCAGAGTGTAAAACTGGTCATGTCTATCTCATACATTTCTGTATTCTGAAAATCTCTTTCGATATTTTAATTGTAAAGGTTTAAAAACAATCCAAAAATATCAACAGACTTGATGGCAGTTAGGAGGGGGCAAGCCATATACAATTTGAGTAATCTATGATTAAGATTGCATTTCCTAATGTAACTTCCAGATTGTGAAGAGAAATTCAAATCAGGATATAAATTTACTCAAAATACACAGTCAAAATACTATAAATTAATGATCAGCATCTGGATACAATTACTACATGTTATAGAGAGATGTCAGCACAGCAACTCTTACTGGAGTTTGTAGTATTTACAACACCCATTGTTTTAAGATTGATTAACTTCAGTAATGATACCTGTATGCCTAACAATCTGTAGGCACAAAAGTATAACTCAAAGTTAATCTTAAACAATGCATCTGTAGCTACTACAAACTGCAAAAAAAGTTGTGCTAACATGTCTCTATAACAACTATCTTATAATCAATCATTTAAAGAAGAGTCCATTTAAAACATAATTGCTAATTTAATACTTCATGACACTCAAACACTTTCATGATTCTAAAAATCAACGATTAGAATGATTCTCAACATACTTTTCTATGGAGAAAATCAAAATTCTGCTTTTTCCTCTCTAAATGTCAAAAAAATAGATTATTATAGAGATGTTAGTTGACATTTTAGGGAAGATTACAACATATTCAAGGAATGCATTAAGTTATATATTTTTGAAACTAGATTATGACAATAAAACCTTCCATCCAATAGTTTTATTAAAAAGATTAAAAATATTTTAAAATTCAAAAGCTTTTCAATACTTTTGTTCATCTTGTGACAAAATAATGAATTATTGCTACATATGTAAACATTAAGCCTGATAGTTATATTAAAGCCAAATGACCTGATTTAATCTGGCAATTGTTAGAATTATTGACATATATTCTCAAATTGAAGATACCCTATATTTTAATGATTCTAAGTCAAACTATTGCTAAGTAAATTAGTTAACTTTTAGCTATAAATAAATTTAATTTAAAATGTACTGTACATTCAAACTGAAAAAATAAGTAAATAATATACTGGTAGTAAAAAAAATATAAACATTCTCTTTATCATCCATTGTTTCTATTAGCTTCTCTTTATAACCCATTTATATAAGATATATAGTGGTGTTCCTCTGCATTTCCTACCTTTGATAAATCACATTTTATAATTTTTATGATTATTTTTTCAATATGTGATTGTGATATTTACACTCATCATTGATGTTGGCAAACAGGAAATTCCTTAATGCACAAAAACAAGAAGAAATTTCTTGTTTGCCAACATCAATGATGAGTGTAAACATCACAATCATACACTGAAACTTGTGCATCTTGTATGTTATTTTTTCAATAGTTTTATTTTCTTAATTTAGAATATCTCCTTATTAAATTAAAAAAAAAATTATGAAAACATTTAAATAACTATTTAATCATAAAATTTCTTTTTTGAAGATAAATTTTTGTATTATTATTATTAAAAGAATTCAATATTAATAACCCAGACTCATTGTCAGCTGTGTATTGCTTAACTATAGCATTACAGAGACATTCAAGCAGCCTTAGAAATGGTTATCTTTGCAACAGTCTAAACAGCTTTGAAAACGTGTTTTCCACATAGTCAGCTGAAAAAATAATGCAGTAGTTAAGCAATATATTAAAAGAATTTCTTATATATTCAGTTTTTAACAGTCAGATTTAATTAATATGAAGTCATATGATTTGCTTTATACATAATTATATATTTATACCTGTTTTATTAATTGCATTATTTACAGCATTTATTGTTTTGTAATTCTCAGATATATCAGATGTTTTTGAAAAGAAAATGTATGATAAAAAGTGAATTTTTAACAATAATAATTGTTTTTAATAATACTAATAAATGTTATGTCTTCTAATAAGTCATTACTTTTTTGTATGTTTATTTAAATAAAAATGTCATTGAATATTTTAAATTATTGATATTGCATAATATCATCAACCTGATTTGTGTGCAATATCAGTTAGCTTAAACACAGATTTTATAGACAATGTTACGTTTTGTATAAATCTGTCATATTTTACAAACAAAAATTTTGATATACAATCAAATGCTGCATAACATCTGTTTAGACATCTAAATGCACATATGCCTGTGGTTACACAAGATTATATTTACGATATCAGACAACAAGTAGTTTGGATCATTGTGAGAAGGGACATTGACCTAATCTTGTAAAAAGGTATGGCTGGTATAGTGGAAAAGCTTGTTAAGGACTTAGCAACATTGATCTCATGTCTCTTGTGTATAAAGCAGCTGCAGCTGCAGTGCCAAGTATTAATGTTTACCATATATCTAGCATTGCCAAGTCATTTGCCTAGATTTAAAATAATTGTTATATAATAATTAAAAAACTTATTACTACATGGTAATAATTACATAATAAACATTTTAATTAATACTAATAAATTAATATTAATACTAATAAATTGGCTATCTTGGTTATTAGTCAATACATAATATTGATACATATCCCATATAACTTTGCTAAGTGTGTACAGTATATGATGATGTTTGGACATCCAAATTGCATAATGTCCTATTTTGCAGAACATATGATGGATGTTAAGTGACATAACTGTATAACAAATAATAATAGTATATTTAAAACTCAAAGAATACTCACTTGAGATAGTTGCTCCGTACTCGTTAATATTCTTGCTAAAGGCAAACAACAAGAAGGCAAAGTTTCCATTAGAGTTGGTCGACTATGAGTTAACAATGGTTTCATAAACCTTATTTTTAGTCAAAGAAGTTTATTTTCATAGAAATATCAGTGCTTATTTAAGAAAATAGTTATTCAATGATTATTATTTATGATCGTCAAAACAAAAAGAAATAGACAAGAGACTCCATATTAAATGTAAATAATAAAAATTACTTCCAGTGAATCAAGATATAACTTGCAAATCAATACAGATACTTTCTAGTGTTAAATTAGAATAATAACTAACTAAAAAAAACTGAATTTATGTAATTTACTTTGAAATAGTATCTTCAAGAATAGAAATGTCAATTGTAAAATAACAATGAGAATAATGCTCTAATGCAATTGCATATTTGCATAATTTTAATTGTTTTTAATTAAATAATTTCTTTGTATATAAAGTTAAATAAAAATAATTTGTATGTTAAAGTTATTCTAATTTAAAACTAACAACTTTACAATAATATACAAAAAATAAAGAATTTTAATAAACTTTAATTATGTTTAAATTGCAAAATTCTTGAATAAACCTTATACAGTGGTACCTCAGGATACGAAATTAATTTGTTCCGAAACTGAGATCGTATCATGAAAATGTCGTAAGGTGAATCATTTTTCCCCATACAATTACATGTAAAACCAAATAATTCGTTCCAACACCAAAACACAGTCAAATTAAAGCTAAGCAGTGCATTAAAAATATATATATAGTAAGGAAAACACTGAAAAATGCATTTTTTAGTTCTGAATATATAAATAACCATAATAGAATAATAATTGATTAAAAAAATGTAGTTTTATTTGCACTTTAACTTTGAGATAGACGACGGTGAAGGTGTAAACTGGTGGCGGAAGAGGGAGAAGGGAAATGATACTAAAAACTTAACTTACATAACATAATGTAACAATAACTTAAAAATAACTTATAAAACAACACTAATTTTTTTATTATTAATTTTTCTTTTTTAATTTTTATTCACTGCTTTTTGTTTTATTTCCTTCACTTCCACCAGCACTTTCACTGGATAGAGGTCGCTTGGTAAAATATCTATCCAAAGAGGTTTGGCTTGGCCTACTTTTTAAAATGTTTCTAAAATGACTTAGGCAAATGTCATTACTCCGAGCAGCAATATGGTCAGTGTGAACCTTTTTGGAATGTTTCTTTTCAATAAAATCAGTCACTTTCTGATAATACCTCAAGATTTCCTTTATCGAGCGAGATCCTTCCACGACGAAGCAAACACGCGGACTGAGACCAATGAATAGAAGTGAATAAAAAGTGACGCTGTGAACTAATGTAACGTCGTATGGTGAGTTTTTGTTCGTATCGTGGAACAAAAATATGTTCGAATTTCATGTCGTATCCTGAAAATTTCGTATGCTGGGGCGTTCGTATCCTGAAGTACCACTGTATTCCATTCAAACTTTTATTCCTGGATAATCCTAATTTATTCTATGTAACCAAATTGAAACTGATGCCTATCTTTCCTGGATATTATTGAGTCAGTAGAGATACAATAATGAGAAGAACATAAGACATTTTTAATAAATTTTGTTCATAATAAATTTCCAATAAGTTCAAAATCATCAATGCAATTTTCCAATATTCAATTTAGATGTAAAAGATAAGAAATTTTATTACAAGTTTTAAAGAATAATTTGACAATCAATTTTTTTAATGACTCAGACATACTGACATTGAAAAAGATTTTAACATTCTTACAATCATCATGATATTACTGGTGTAGAATTCAATAAATATTAAATTTTTGGAATGGGCGTTCACTTACAAGCATTCCAATGCATGGAAACCTGATGACGACCGTTAAAAACAGAAGAAAACATTCGTTTTGAAGAGAATTATTGCTGGTTTTAGGTAATTATTTATTATTTATTTTAACATTCTTGTTCTTAATGATGTTATTTGAGAATAAAAATGAAGATAAATAAAAAACAAAATTAAGCTTTTTTTAATAACAATAAAAAAACATTAATTTTGCAATTACTCAAAAATTTACATTTACTTTAATTTAAAAACAAATATAAATAGAAAGGATACATAACATCAAAGTTAGACCACTTTCTCACCAACCATGCTTTTTCAAACTTCTCTGGTTTTTGATTTGTATTTTGTCCTTGTGTCTATAATATAATTTATTAATTTAAAAAATATTAATAGTTATAAACTAAATATCATTTTTACATTAAAATATCATTTTTTAAAATGAAATAAATAATTCTTATAGTTAAAAATATTCAAATTAATAAATAAACTCAAACTAACAAAGTATTCAAAACAATCTAGTCAATTTCAAATACTAAATTTTCTAATAAAATATATAATTTTTGTATTTATATGTAGTTACAGGATTTTAATATAACGATACTATATTACTGTAACATAAGTGTTGTGAATTATATTATTCAATAAATTAAATTAACACTAGTAAAATTCAAATAGCTAAATTTCTATTTTTAAGAATAAAAAAAATCCCTACAAAATACTAAGCTCAATTTAAATTTCTTAATATAATTTATAGCAAGATACTTTCATATTATAGCAATATAGTCTGGTAAAAATTATTGGCTAGTTTTCATGATTGGCTTTGAATTCAAATATGTTAATTTAGTAACATTAAATAATCCAAAAAAGTCCAACAGTTTTGGTTATTTGATTACTAACAAACTTTATTTTTCTTACTTTTTTAGGTGATCCAAATTGCACCATTTCTCTTTCATCTTCGATTCCTATTCTGCATAAGAAAAAATATATGCATTTAAAAGTGTTAAAATTTTTTAAATGAACATAAGAAATTAAATAGCTTATGTCAGTGTTTCCCAACCTTTTTGGATTGGCAACATAAATTGAATTTAATAAAATTCCTGCAACACATCATAATTTTTAAGATAAAAATGTTTAAAATTGCTAAGTTTTCACAGAGAATTATATAATGAGATATTGTTTAGAAGGTATCTATAAATAGCATATTGACTAAGCAGATAAAAATGTTTAAAATTTATAAGTTTTCACAGAGAATTATATAATGAGATATTGTTTAGAAGGTATCTATAAATAGCATATTGACTAAGCAAACAAACTATGCTACTTCAAATGAGTGCGAGTGGCAGATCAATACTCAATATAGATAAATCGATACAAATTGGTTTAAAGTTGTAACGAAGCTCCATATCTAAAAGTTTCGCTTACTCTTAATTGCAATTTCAGGATATCTAAAACAGGTTATTTCCTACCAGTTCAATCCGGAAAGAGTTTTATTTCCTGATTTCGGCTATTCGATGTTCTAACGGATATAAAAAGAGAGAGAAAAGAAAGAAAGCCAAGCAATTCGATGAGGATCATTAAACGAGACACGCTCAACGAATAGGTGACTGTAGCGGTTACAATCAAACTTTTCTTTTTTATTGCTAAACTTAACAGAACAGAAATACAGAAAGAATTTGACGTTTCGATCTGGTTCCTTGCCTTCCTATTATTACTTAGGAACAGTACCGTAAATATGAGGAAGGAGGGGAAAAAATTGGAAATTTGATGGTGCGTGAAGGACTATCTCTTTGTATTTAGATTTACAATTTTTTTTTGTTGTATATTTAAGAAATTTATAATATCATGCTTTGAAAATTATGATTGTCTAATTTGTCATTAGATGACTATCAGAAGAACCACTTGATCTGAACTCCAAACACAGAATGGTCTTCAGATTTTAGACTTTTATAAAGAAAATATAATGTGAAAATGATTTATTTTGGTAATTAATGAAGATTTTGATCTTATTCATAGATTTTTATGGCTTTCGGAGAAGGATAGGATTTTATATTTGTAAATGGTAGTGCCCTTACTTTACATCTCTCAAGCGCTGGATTTTATAAATGTTTTTATTTAATATATTATAAATTTTAAAAATTTAATTGGAATTCCTGGACAAATAAATAAATTCAAACCCTATCTACAGTTTTAAAAATAATAAATTTTTTCTTTATTTTTGTAAATTATCATATTGTTTATAAAGAAAGTGATATTTTACATAAGTTGAATTTAATTTGAAGATCCTAATTTCATTTTTTTAAAAGATGTTTTATTGAGTTTAAAACAAGACTTTATGCATTTATTATTTACTCAAAGTAAAATTTGAACGTGATGAATTTATGTTTTGTTAAACATATAAAATTTCAATTTATCATTAAATCTAACAAAGTTTATTACGATGTGTCTCAAAACATATTAAATTGAAAATACTTTAAAAAAAACTAAAAATTTAATCAATTTGCTTAAATATAATTAAAATTAATTTAGTTTACAATTGAATTTATTAATTTAGATCAGTTTGGTGAGAGTTTTTCTGTTATTTTCGCAGAGAATCAAATTACATGTAAGCAAGAACAAATTAGCGTATTACCGAATCTAAAATTTAATGAACTATTTTAATATATATATATAATTTAGTGCTAAAGATATTCTAGAAGAAAATTTATCGAAAATCATAATGTTTAATTCATTTATGGGCCCACGCATTGATTTTATAGCTAAGGAATGTAGTTTTATAACTAGTTTAAAAATGCACATGTAATTTTATTTCGAGCACCTTGTAAACAAGTTGTGATTTAAATGTTACATATAGATATCAAATGATTAATATACTTTAATGTTGTTCTTTTTATAAAAACTACAAATATATATCCGTATACGAATGTCTACGTTGCAGTACATATAAAAATTTAATGCGACTTTAACAAGTTCTTCATCGAATATAAGAGAAATGCTACACCTGTTTGCCTGATGGATTAATATTTAAAAAATTATTAATTAACTATTTGTTTACGTTTACGTCAGCTGAATAGTCTAAGTTCACACGATTAAAATTAATTTTTTTATTTCAGTGATAAGGTAAGGAACTGTTTTCATTAGAAACTGGCTTATTTCATAAAATAAAAATATACATTTATTATTTTCATGTGAAAACACGTTATTAAAAGTTATTATTTTGATTTTTTAAATGTTTTCTAATAATTTTATTATATTCAGAGCTGGATTTGCATATAAGTTAAACGAGTTATGAATTTATAGCTTAGACCTCACATTTTTACATGTATTATTTGGTGGAGGGGAAGGGCCTGTTATATGTCATAATTTAAGGCCACAAGTTTAAATCCAGCTTTGATTTAATAATATTTAGTTTTTCTCATATATGAGAAAAACTAAATATATATAATACATAACACTTGATATAAAGTTTAACTTAATACATAACACTTGATATAAAGTTTAACAAGCTTCTTTAGCTCTTATAAGTATGCACAGTGACTTGTATTTTTGAATTGTTTAAATTAACTCGATTCGTTTTAAGATTTCTTAAGCGATACTGTGATATTTAAGAAATAAATCTTGTCATTATTTTCCTGAAATTGTTTTTAAAATAATAAGACTATTCTTTCTTTATATATTTTCAATTACAGAAATGCAATATTTTTCTTTCTTATAATGAATTATTTTGTAAAATATATCACGAAACAATAAAATTGACACTTAAGAA